GTGTTTTTTTTGCAGAATACATAGGCTACTTTTACTTTTACTCTTCATACCTTAAGTACATTACAGTATGAAGAATAATACTTTTACTTAAGGTTTTAAATGCATGCATTTTTTCCTTAATGTGCTAATAGTAGTTACTGAAAGTACTTTACTAAAGTAACTCATATTTCTTCCACCAATTACTTTTTCATAGCTCTACACAATTAGTGCTTTCCTCATTTCCTTAAATCAGACCAGACCCCTGTACTGCAGGATAAAGCTGAATGTGGCAGCGCTGGACAGGTTTTTAATGGTTTTCGGCTGAGCAGGGAGGCCCTGACAGTGCTGCTGGATCTTCTGAGAAGTGAACAGCAACAGTGATGGGGTGCCACAATCTAGACCCTGCTGTTTCTCTTCTGTCTGCCAGTGGTACATCATACAGAGTGGTCTCCAGAGTGTTTGACATGCCTCGTTCCACTGTCACCGCATTGTCCTCCGAGTCGCTGAGGAGGTGCTGGCCATTCACCAAGAGATTCACCTTACTGAAGCCCCCAGAACACATGGAGGCAGGGCTGCACTCAAAACTGATGTTGTTTTTCTGATGTTAAACCTAAGCTATGCTGTAAATAGTTGTAAAAAGTACTTTCAGTAATGTATAGAACAATTGGTTTTAATGTGTAAAAAAAAATTATTTACAGGACAAAAAAATAAACATATAGAATAATATTTTGTGGAAAAATTAAAGCTGCATTAAAAAAAATTAGCAATGTACATAATTACTTCTCTTTTATTTACACATGTGAATATGCAAAACAAAAATAAAAAATGTACAGAAAGTACTCAGGCTCATTTACAAATAAATTACACTACAAAAATGAATAATGTATACAACTTATTCATTTTATTTTTAACTTACATCACAAAAATAAACTACAGAAATTAGGTTGTTTCATTTACAATGTGACATTTAAAAAAATATATTGAAAAATTGTAATGTACCCATTTTTTCCGCTGCTTGCTCTTGCCTAATAGAGAATGGCTAATAAATAATGTATTTGCCCAGGACACTTGCAATCCTAAGGCAGAGCAAATAAACCACGCCTGTTAACAACAACAGCACAATGAATTTCAGCAAAAATGTGTCTATTAACTTGCTTACTTAGTATTTTTTTAAGTCTTTCCCCAGCAGGCTCATTTTCTCCAGAATAAAACAAGAGAAAATGGAAACACTTATGAAAAATATAAAGACAGGTTTGCAATCTTAACATTAGAAAATATGACACAGCAGGACATGCATACAAAATACTGAAGTGCTAAAGTTTGGTTAAAACATTTGTAGACATATCTTGAATGACAGCACTGCAAAAACACAACAAAGGGAAAGACTATTGCCTTATATAGTGGTTGTCTTCTTGTTTGTGGGCTTTGTGTTAAAAAAAACCCTGGCTTTAACACGTTTCGCTAGGTATTTGAGTAAGTGAAAACACAATACTTACATTTCAATGTGAATTCCCCACAGAACTCTCACCCGCTGTGTTCTTTGAATATAAACACTGTCGTCATCTGCGCACAAGTGATTCTGGGATATGGTAGGTTGCGAAGTGTCCATCAGATGTACACTTCATTTTCCTGGGAAACGGAGGGCGCATTTGAAGTCGCTTTCGAAATACATCAGCCTTCGTCGCGTCGCGGTGACGCAATCGGCCTTGGAATGCGGTCTTCGGAGGGCGCATCCTGAATTGGGAAGGCTTACGTCGTGACGCAATCGCACTTCAAATTCGCACTTCGGAGTCCGCACACTTCAGTTTGGGACAGCCTTCGTCGCGCCACTGTGACGCAATCGCACTTCAAATGTGCACTCCGGAGTCCACGCACTTCAGTTTGGGACACAGCTTGTATATTCTTTTTGCATATACCATATTGTCCAGTAGGTGGAGGTAAAGCAATAACAACTGCATTGATTTATTGATCAATAACTCATTCAAGGTCATGGAGGGGCAGTGATCTGCATAGTTTACTTCCAAGCCTTATCCAGCACACCTGTTCATCATTTTTAAATAGTCCTGAATACATTGATTAGCTTGGTCAGGTGGGTTTAATTAGGGTTGGAACTAAACTCTGCAGGACACTGGCCCTGCAGGAGCCGAGTTAAAGAGCCCTGCTATAAGGTAATACAGATTCTAAGGCTTCAGAGATATTTTGTTTACTGCAGAGGGTGTGCACTTTCTTGGATACCTTCGTTGAGCCAATTGGGTGGAAATTACACAGTTTATGAAATGTAGACTCAACACTGATTTTGGGGTTATAAACCCTCAATCGGTCCCTGGGGTCAATATGACCCCAATCAACTTTTACTTAGTTTAAAAAAATGGTTCCCTTTCAGTCGGTCACTCCCGACGTCACGTCGGATGACCGAGATGGAGGGAGTTGCTCTTCGGGAGATGGTGAACGCACCACTCCCTCCCCCGGAGGAGGGCCGGGCGGAGAATCTGACCTCGCAGTCAGTGGTACCCAAATACTCTACAAAAGAGCAATTTCTTCTATCTCTGGGTCCCCTGAGGGGACGGGAGCTTGTGGATGATCCAGAGCCGTATCACACTCACCCTCCTCTCTCACCAGTGAGCAGCAGTGGGCGGATCGGGAGGACGAACCAACGGACTACCCACGCACCCTCTGCT